ACAGCCTAAGCTTTTTCCTTTCAAAATGTTATTTCACAAATGTTTAAGAAGAGTGATCATTCATGTAAAATCAGAGATGAAGAGAGTATTTTGTGATGATATGACTTAAAATTTGTCTTAAAGCTTTTATTATTATGATTATGGGGAAACTGAATGATTAAAAGGGCGATTATTGTGGAAATTTTAATCATTGGTGAAGATTATTAGGTATTCTGAGCCATGTTTTTCCATTGAACCTATTTCATGAGTAAAATATAGATGTCTACGTGGTTGTGGGTGACATTTCAGGAACATATGGGACATGACCTCTGACATTAGGGTCAGTTTTTGACCAGTTTTGGCCAGTTTATTTCAGTACCAGTTTGTGTCCTTATCCTTTAGACTAAACATTACAGCAGTAAGGACCTTATCTGGGTGGGTGAAGGTACAGTGGGTGAAGAGGAACCTTGAAAAGACTATAAGAGCTGTCTCATGTCTCCCTGAGGGTATCTCACTCGGGCCATGGTGTAACTGTTGTGTTGGTGACTGGGCCTATTTTTGCAAGAATAAATACTTCTCTTTCTTTATTAATTTGACTCTGAGTGTCTCTAACACAGTGATGATGTTTGACAGGATTTTTGGCACAACAGTTTCAAAGTCCAAGCTTTTTAAAACGATACCGTTATCGCCTCTGTGTAAACTGCAAAATCACGCATTTGTGAAAACTGTGATGTTATACACATGCGTATTACATGCACAGTCTAAAGGCGAGTAGTGTTTCTTTACAAAGGGACATCACCAACTACTGGCCTGAATAATACAGCATTTCCATGTGAACGGGGATCGTTTTGACACAACGCATTCTCACCCCAATGCGTCACCTTTGACCATGCTTCAATATTTGACGTTTTAGGTGCCCTTTAGCGTCACTTACATGACGCGATCCTACGGCGTCATCTAACTGACGCTAAAGGAAAGCGTCAGTTAGAGGACGCGGTTAGGTTTAGGTGTGGGGAGGGGGTAGGGTACACGCGATCCTATGGCGTCATCTAACTGATGCTAAAGGGCGCCTAAAGCGTCAGATATTGAAGCATGTCCAAATGCTTCCCAAGGCGTCAGTTAAGTGACGCCTTGGGGGTGAGAATGGGCTGTTTGACAACGTTGTCGACCAACGCATTCTCACCCCAAGGCGTCACCTTTGACCATGCTTCAATATTTGACGTTTTAGGCGCCCTTTAGCGTCACTTAAATGACGCGATCCTACGGCGTCATCTAAATGACGCTAAAGGAAAGCGTCAGTTAGAGGACGCGGTTAGGTTTAGGTGTGGGGTGGGGGTAGGGTACACGCGATCCTAGGGCGTCATCTAACTGACGCTAAAGGGCGCCTAAAGCGTCAGATATTGAAGCATGTCCAAATGCTTCCCAAGGCGTCAGTTAAGTGACGCCTTGGGGGTGAGAATGGGCTGTGTCGACTGTACTTGAAAAATACAGTGTTTTTAGTCCTTGAGCGGATCCGTGTGAACAGGGATTGTTTTGACAACGTTGTCGTCTGTACATGAAAACCGAAAAGGAAAACCTTTTCCATTTTAATATTTCGTTGTCATGAAAATGTAGTTTCATTAATTCCTGTTTCCTTGGTTTTCACGGTTTGCCAAGTACTTATGTTTATATTTTATTTTATTTTATTCTTAAGTACTAGTGATTATAAATTTGTATTAGGGAGGATTTATGCATGAAACACCATGTGGCATGAAAGTTGATTAATATTTGATGTAAAATATGCATTGTTTCATGGAAACATAAAATCTACCTATCTGAATGACCCTTCCACCAAAACCAAGGTGTCACCTTTGACCATGCTTCAATATTTGACGTTTTAGGCGCCCTTTAGCGTCACTTACATGACGCGATCCTACGGCGTCATCTAACTGACGCTAAAGGAAAGCGTCAGTTAGAGGACGCGGTTAGGTTTAGGTATGGGGTGGGGGTAGGGTACACGCGATCCTAGGGCGTCATCTAACTGACGCTAAAGGGCGCCTAAAGCGTCAGATATTGAAGCATGGTCAAATGCTTCCCAAGGCGTCAGTTTGGTGACGCCTTGGGAGTGAGAATGGGCTGCCAAAACAGCTGCACAGATGTGTGGATTATTGAATGACACTGAGAAGATTATTGGAGCTTTTAGACACATCTATGTATCTATTTACACATTTTAAAATGCCAAAATCTTGCTTACATTTTCTGAACCTCTTTAGACTATAAGCTCTCAGCATAGCTTGCATACCAGGTTGTCATTGTGTCTTCTGCCACCTTTTGTACTGGTGTTTAGAAAGACTACTGAGGTATGGCAGCATGCATAAACATATCCATATGTCTTAAAATGATAGCATGTTTCCTTGTGATTTGTCTAACTGCATGAAACACAATTGTGTAAACTGTACCATGAATGTCTATGACAAACCTGAGCATGTACTGTAAATGATGTGTGAATCCAAATCAAAAGAAGACAATCAGTTTCCCGTTTCTGCCAAGTAGTACTCAAATCCCGAACCTGATTTGCCTTGCAAATCTACAGTGTGTGATTATGCATATGGTGAGGGTTTGGGTTGGTTTCTATGGTTACCCTTTAACCACCTGTTTAGCCCTCGGGAGAAAGATTGCAACATCAAATTTATTGCCGTTTACCTCATCGCCTTAATCATAAGATGTTGACAGCACAGCAGTGCTTTTAAAACATATCAGACAGGTTGCATAACAACCTTGGAAAGATAGCGTTTATGAGTGTAAAGGGTCAGTGTCAATTTAGCCAATAAGATAACAACTAATAATTTATAAAATACTTCTGAGCCCAAAGTATATCATACAGTACATCTTTGGTAGTGAGCTCACAAACCACACACATTGAGTCTGACTTAAACAAGAAAGAGACCACATCACTTTTGTCCTACTATGACAACAAGTATTCATAAGACTCTGTTTTTTTGTGACCATTGTCATGAAGGCTATTTATATATTTTGTACGCACACCTTCAGAGGCACAAATGAAGCAGAACAGATCACACGACTCAAGGCTTATATGCATTGCATCAGAGGCTTGGCATGAAGGATTGCCTTGAATTCCCCTTGTATCATCCTCTTAAATTCTTTTTGAAGGGAAATTGTTCATTTAAAATGACCATTTAGGTGTGTTCAGGTACAGGGGGCGGCAATCCACCCTTAATTTAATATTGTTTGCCTGTACAGAAGCAAACTTGGGGCTTTTTACTTTATTTTTGTGAGAGGAGGGAAAACTAAATAAGATTAGGTTGATTAAATTGACCTAATTTGTATAATTGTCAGAGTAAGGTTTTATAAAGTCGTTAGAAATGTGTCTTTAATTCAGTGTAAAAAGTCCATATTTTAAAGTTGTTATCCTAGTTGTTATCCACTGAAATTATTATTAATTGATATGTAACATTTAAATTAAGATTGAAAATTACATAACTTGTAGGCTATTGGCGACTCAAAAGGCACCGAATGAATGTCCCAGTTGGAGAGCTGAGTTGACACTCCCATAGACCGCCATAAGAACTTTGGAATGCGGAAGTAACGCGTGTCGTGGAGCAGCCAATAGTTCAAAACACTGTTGGTTCCAGCATTGAACCCCATTCATTTTCAGTGTTTCCGAAGTACGCTCGCTGGTAAATTAATAAAATTACTGTATTTTTTATTTTTACACACATTAGCTGACCCCTTGTGAATCTAATCAGTAGTTATATTATATGTAGCCAGTTTTAGGTAATGTTTATTGAAATAGGTTATGCTAATTGCAGCTAGCTTACGTGACCAACACATCACTAATGCTTGCTAACCTATATGGTAACCTGATGTATATAATATTTAATAGCCTATTATTAATAATATAGGCTATACATGAAGAGTTCAGATGCAAAAGCCTCTAAATGCCATTTGAAATTTTCTTCTAGAATGATCATTTTTATAAAGCTTGTATATTTAAGTTCAGTGATTTCACTTAAATGGCAATGATAATTACCTATTAATTGTTATTTAAGTGAAATTACTGAACTTAAATATACAAGTTTGATAAAAATCATCATTAAAGAAGAAAATTTCAAATGGCATTTAGAGGCTTTTGCATCTGAACTCTGCATATATACACACACACTTTTAATTTATTTTAAATGGATTAGGGTCATGTGTGTATATATGCATAATACATGTCAAAATGCGTATAGGCCTACATAAACACACATGCATACATGCATTTATGTATGATGAAAGGGTACGTTAACAGTTATGGGTCGTAATCAGGATTCATTTTATGAAGTTAATATTTACAGAACATTGCTGCAAATATAGTAGTTGCATTCTACACTATGGTAGCAGTCCATTTCCATCTTAAAACATTAATTTGTACATGCATATCGTAATTATTTATATTTTATGTTGGTCGTTAATTCTGAACTGAGCGCCACTGCAGACCTCTTCAATAGCCTAATAGGGCCTACAGCCCAGTTGTGCTAAAATAAATATCATGAGACGTCCATAATCAGATGAAATCCGCTAAAGCCAGTGCTACTACCAATGCGAATATGAACACTAACCTTTCCCTCCCAAAAAAAGCCTAAAAGTTCTAAGTAATATTATAGCATAGAAGCTATTTTGTTGTCACCCTGCCTGTCCAAATGCAAAACTGACATTGACTAAATGCAATAATGCAGTAACAGCTGAAAAAGTTCTTTGTGTGTGTTTTATTTTATATTTGCCGTTCAATAATTATGCTGCATGTCCCCTAGAAGAACATGACAGCCAGTGTGTAGCCTATGCTATGGAACTATGGGGCTTACATTAACCACGTGACAGCCTTCGCGGCGACATCAAAGAGTGTCGCAACTCAATCTCTCGGATCTGCCCAGTAGTACAGTAAATCACGGCTCACATTAGTCGAGACTCCATCTCTCTGATTGGTCGATGATACGGATGTGACATGACGTCACGCACGCTGACCTAACTTTTTCATAAATCAGAGAGAAAGCGTCGCATTACACCAACCGTGTTTCCATGAGAAAGCAAGCACCCGAGAGCCGAAAATGATTCGGTCCTGACAGGCCGTCGAACTTTGGATGTACTTTGATTTGCGTCGTCAATTGTTTTTAAATAGTTGGTCTGCAAGTATTGAATTCGGAGTGTGAGACGAATAAACTTGTAACGTTAGTTGGAAAACTCGGAGAAGCACGCCATCCTCATCGGATGGACAAATCCACGATGAAAGCCATGGTAAGGAATCTGACGGGTTCTTGTTGTTTGTAGATATTAAGCAATGTGTATATAATTCGCAGTGTATTGAATTATTTTATTGTAGGCTCACTGTTATTTTATTCTTGTCGTAAACATGGATGTGAATGTAAATTCCTGGTTTTAACGGGTCATGCCGCTTTAAATGTAAGTTAGTGTCGGTCGTTATGCGTTATCAGACGTTTCGGTGACGTTAGGCTATATGTGCATTTATTCATGGCTCTTACTTTTGTTAACATTTCAGTCGGGCCTTTTTGTTACTTATTACTTTGTTTTAATTTAATGTGAAATGCTTGTTTGATAACACATTATGAAAGTTGGGTAGTGATAATGAACATTGTCTGAACTGGGTATGCTGGGCACTGATATTTTATAGTGGTTTTATGTTCAGAAAACTTTTGACTCAGTTTTGTAAATATTACCGTAGGAGTGGTATGTGCTATTTTGTATATTAATTTTAGAATCTGAACACGTTTGATATAAGTTACGCTTTTTGAGTAGCCTACAAGTAATGTGTAGCCTACTTATGAAAATCATTATCTCAACCTAGTGAGCTCCCTACCTAGGCAACATGTTTGGGCATTCAATGTAGCTAAGATGTCAAAAAGTGCTGTCTAGGTATGTTTTGAGACACGGCCATAATGTGTGCGATTTATTTTTTATGATATTATGTTTGAGTGCCCACTAACCAATATGCAAAGTGATTTTATTTATTTTTTCATTTCTGCTTTCTGACACAATAACTAAATTATAATTTGGCTAAAACAATACATATACATTTTAATGATTGTTATAAATAGTAATAATAATATAATAATTACTAGTAACAATTCTTCTAATAATGATATAGCAAAATATAGCTAATAAAGCAAAAATAATGCTTTCTAATAAAGCATTTATTGGTTAACAAGTGTAAAATAAACAAAACAAAAAACAGCTAGACTGTTTGTCGGTCTATAACTTTAAAAGCAGTCCAGTCTTCTCTTCTCTTATGAACCTTGCCTTGTGAGAGTTTTCTAAGAGTAGTGCCAGTGTTTATTCCACATTGAAAGAGCCATTCACTGCTCTTCTGTTGGTTTTTCCAGCTCTGCTCTGCCAAAAGTGGCACTATAAAAACGCTTCACTTGCTGAATGCCTTAAGTCACCTTTAAAACTTTCTCTTGACTCCAGAGCCACACACGGCTCATACTGTGTATCTTTAACTTAAAACTACACCGTTCCTTAGAGCAGCGACCCTCAAATAACACATGATGAGTGTTGCATTGAACTTGCAAGTATTTTTGTGTAGATTCATTTATTGTGTAATAAGTAGGCATTCAGCTAGTATTTAATTAGATAATTAAATCATCAAAGCCAAGGGAGTGATCATCATCTTAACTAGTAATCTTGTTGCCTTAACAGCATGAGCCCCAGGTGAACTCGCCCAACTTTGAGGCCCGCATTTGTTTATTGAAATCACAGGGCAGAGGTTGTTTGCAACAGGGGCTGTTTATGCATGCTGTAAACTATGCTAAGTTATGAGTCTGCTCTGGTTGGCTGGTTACTAGATGAAGATAGCTCATCCTTGCCAGTCTGCATAGCTCACACATTCTTGGGCCAGTGAGAGCGGATGGGGAGGGGGGTGGACGGAGGCGTAAGCTCCTACTGTAAACTTCCTGTCAACACAGATGCCAGTGACAGGAATCAGATCTTTGTATACTCTTTCCACCCACAATCACAAACATTTATCATACAATAGGGAGCAGGGGTCCCTTCTCCATTAGTCTTTTCATACACTTCTTTTTTTTTTTTTTTGAGATTTCTTGGGATCACAGATCTCTCTCTCTCTCCCTCTTGCCTTTTTTTACCCTCTCAAACTCCTTCGATGTTATCGGAGTGTGCTCTCTAGGGTGTGGGCATGGACAGGAAGTGTGCACGGTATCTCTCTGAGCGGCTCTGAAATCCAAACAGGACATGCGCATACCCCAGGATCCACAAGAAAGACTCCAGAGCACAGTCCACATCCCGCTGCTCATTAGGAGCCTTTTTAAAGTCACTTCGCTCCGTCAAATGTTTATGGAATCCACATTAACGAGGAGACAGGAAGAGAGAAGTTTGCCTGATGCAATTAACGCTCATTATCAGAGTAATCAGAATGATGTGGATTTGTGGGAGATTGTGTGTTAGAAATCGTGCCATATCTGTTTCTTAGTCAATGCTCTAGAGTCTAGACTTCCCACAATAAACAGGGTCTAGAAGTGTTTATACTGAGAGGAGAAGCACATTTATCTTGTTCTCAAGCTTTTCAGTTTGCCATATTTTTTAAGGATGTCGATCGGTATGTTGATTGAGATGAATAGTTGACATTAAATGCATTTAAATGAAATTTACTTATTTGGCTGATATGTATGAGAGAATATTTAAAACTATGTTACTATTTAAAATGAAATATTTTAAACAAAGTGAAATATTTGTCGCAGCACAGGACCTTTTTAAAATTAATTAGTGAAGGCAAAAAGTGACCTAAATGGTGGGTACATTGCCTAAGATATATTAATTTAGTTCACCCAATAATGGGAGTTTACATTTTTGGGTGAAGTATGCCTTTGATAAAATCCATTCAATTAGGGAATTAAGTTCTTTCATGAATCATAAGCTCATGAGATTTTCTTCTTTGTGACATTGGTATTACTTGTGGCTTTAAAAAGTTCAAGAAGTGGGAGACAAATTGAAAGATTATCTGCTGTCGAAATGAAAGCATCTTGATAACATGTGGGTTTGTGGTCAGGCTTTCTTTTTTTCCCCTTTTTTTTTTTTTGCCATTTAGCTCTTCCCAGGAAAGGCAACGCATCTGTCAGAGATTCATTTATGTCTAAGGTAGCCACACCTTACAGGTCACTGCACCCAGATTCAGTGACTGAACGAGAGATGTGTTACATATATTACAATGTGCCTGCTATTCAGCTACCCTTCTATTCAACCCCCATTGACTCCAGTTAAAACGCTAATAGTGTGCATTTCTGTGTGTGTGTGTGTGTGTGTTTGAGAGAGAGAGTGTGTGTGTGAGTTCTCTACCCCCTATCCAGTGTCTTCAAACAATAATTACCCATTGGTTTGACTTGAAGTTGAACAGTCATTGGTGATTCTCCTCCTTGAAAACAACACCCTCTCGCTCTCGCTTTTATTCTTATGTCTTCTCCTCGCATGAATCCACAGGTGTATCACAGATTGGGTAACCTGCCACTGTGTCAAACACGCTTAAATTAGGGTGTGCGCTTGAATGTATGAAATTAGATGAGGGTGTTATGTCTCATTTAAGCCAATGGATAATAGTGTCAGTTTGTAGTTTGGTCACGCCTTGCAGATGTTTTCCATGTGGATTTTGCGGTGTGTTTTATTCCTTTAAAACCGTATCTGGTTTTGATGTCATCATGGGGCAAAGAGCGATATTTTATTTTTATTATAAGGTTTCTATAAATAGAAAAAGCATAATGACCTTAGTAGAGCTTACAGTTTTAGGCTCAGCTTTTTTAATTTATTTTTTGTAATTTGTATTTTTTTTAGTAAGTTTTATTTTATCATATTTTTACTTTACTTTAGAAATGTTATAGTTAACTTTTTATTTTAAATATCTTTAATAGTTTAGATTTTTTTACCTTATCTTTTTATTTAATAAATCAAAAACTGTTTATTCTAATCATGTGTAATTGAACACCTTTACAGCTCTAGAATTACTTTAGTTTGACATTTGCAGATGCCTGAATTAATGTTCACCCTGAATAGGTCAAAGAATGCATTCAGCATAAAAAACACTGAACCTCCTGCTTGTGTGAGTGATGGGAAAGGCATTCGGCACAAAGCCTCCGTCTGATGTCAGCTCACTGAACTGAGGCTGGCTAATGAGTGGGGCAACTCAGCGTGGCACTGGCCTAATGTCATGGGAATACGTTTTTCAGGCTTAAAATGCCATCTTCCACAATTCACGTACCACTTGGCTCTGATAATCTTGTCTCCCATCAAACAGGTTGTTTTTGCAGGGTTGTTTGTGTTAGTGCTGACTATAATGACGCATATTTTCTTTTGATAACAATACAGTAGCTTAAAGATTAACCAGTTGAGAAGAGCAAAGCTGATTTGTAACCATAATAAGACTTTTTTTAAAACTTGTTCGACCTGTTTTTGATAATCAATGGGGTTGTCGTACAAAGAGAAGAGACACTGAGTCATCCAGGCTTTAAAGCTTTTCATTGCATGGGACTTTGATCTGTGACGCATAGTCAAGCTATGTACCTCCTGATGTTTCCATGGAAAAGGCTGGAAATAAATGAAAATATTTAGTGGTAATTAAATTTGGCAAGGGTGGCTAGAGGTTCTTTTCTCTGGCTGTTAAGTTTCAACTTTTCTGACTCAGTCTGTTGCATTTTATCTGGTTTGTCCCACCTAATTAAGTACTTGCCTACTTGTCAAAAAAGAGAACGCTTTCCAGTTTAGGTAAATTGAATACACCTTTATTCAATAAGTTCAGATGTTCTGCATGTGGGCCAAAACCAGTAATTCAAGACATGAAGCATGCTATCTAGGGTGTTCAAAGACATACAAGTTTGTTTGGGAAGAAAAGAAGTAACTGTTAATCAGCCATTTTAAGTTGAATTAACTTATTTTTAGACTTAAAATTCCTCAACTGATCTCATCACACAACATGTCACACCTCGTATAGGCTGATATAGCGAAGAACCGCAGATGTGGTTTTACGCAGGAAGTGTATTGTAAATCACATTTTTTTTTTCACATTGTCTTTGTCTGTCTGTCTGTCTCTATCATCCTCTCTTCCTCTTTCTAATGGAAAGAGATTAGGACAGTCCTGTCTGGTCACTCACTATGCACTGCACTTTTTTTCTTTTTTTCTTTTAAAGACAGAAAAGCCACAGGAAATCTGAAATGTGGAAGGCTGTGCTGTCGTGGCTTTCTCGGGCTATTAATATCCTCCCACGCACACTGAGGAC